TCTCCAGCCAGCAAAGCTGGCTGGAGAATTCTGGGAGTTGAAGTCCACAAGTCTTAAAAGTGGCCAAGTTTGGAGAGCTCCGGCCTAGAAGAACAGGCTTTTCTCTCAGGGGTCCGAATCAGTCTGAAACCAGCTGAGGTGACCCGAGAAGCTCAGCCTCGGATTCCTCTCCTCCATTTTTATGCTCTCCAGATGTCTGTGCTGAACCTCCTGGTGAGGCGCCATCCAGGATACAGCGAGCCGGTGAAGTCCAAAGAGGAGGTGATCGTCCATTGTGGATTCCGTCGGTTCCGGGCCTCCCCCCTCTACTCACAGCACACCTCAGGTGGGGAAGCTGTGTGTCCTCAGCCCCTCCCAGGGGAGGGGAAACCCCCTACAGGTTCTCCTCTGAAGGGAGAGGAATGGAGGCCTTGTGTGTGTGTGGTGGTGGTGGGGGTTGCTTCTTAATGGCCTTTGGGCTGAGGAGACTGGGAAGATGGTTCAGGCAGGCAGGGCTGGGTGAAATTCCCAGTTTTTGTGGAGGGAATTTGACATGCCTGAATCAAACTTCATAGGGCTTGTTGACAGAGCATCAGCCCCCCAACCTAGTGGTCTGAGTGGCTCAAATCTAGTTCAGAATACAGACGATGGGAAGATGGGCGCCAGCTCTTTCCTGCCTCATGCATTTGGAAAATATCCTCAAATACTGTGAGGTGTGGAAGGTGGGGATCGTTGTTCACGCCTAGTTCTCACTTGAACCAACTCAAATTACCTTCCTTTGGACCCGTCACCGGAAGGCCCATCTCCATGGAGAAGGCTCTGATGCTGGCAAAGGTGGAAGGAAAGAGAAGGTGAGGGGTGTTAGGGATATACACCCTAGCAGAACCTGCAGGGCAGGCAGGCAAATATGTGAGATAAACGTTTTTGTAGCTTACACTCAGTAAAACAGATGCACAGTGCTAGTTAAATAGTTTATTCCAGTAATAGTATTTAGCATAGTCAAACAGTCCATATATCATACACTAGTTCAGTCCGTCCAGGGATTAATCAGTTGCAAAGTCCAGTGTCAAAAAAGAGGTCATTAAACTTATAAATATCAGTCCAGTAATATATCTCTTCGCAGTTAGAGATATGAAGAAGTCAAACTTCTTTCCTTCCTTCAGCAACAGCAAAGAACACGCAGTTAACAATCCATCATCGTCAGCAAGCAAACCAGTAAGCCAGCAATCAATCCAGTTCTCTTGCTCCCTCTTATGGCGATTTACAGCCGCACCCAAAATTACATGCTTTGCAATTAAAGTGACACACACTTAAAATCACTATCATAGTTTATATATATTATTTTACCCAAACCATGTTAGGTAACCTATGTTATTCCTAACAAGGGGAAAAGGCTTAGTTACAATAGCAGTGAGTACACGGTTCAGAGAGCTGAAGGACCAGGGAAGGAATATATCAGCATGGAGAATTTATGTGGTTTGTAGGAGGCAACACCAGTTTCATCGTAGATAATCAGCGGTTTCATCCAGGAGCTTCCCTTGAAGAAACTGCAGCCAAATTCTGGGAGAAAACTCAGAATCTACAAATCTCCCCCATTCCAGCTGCAGCCTTTGAGGGTCACTTGAGCTTTGCAAGAGTCAAGCCATATTTTAAAGCTAGAGCTGCTAACATACGTTTATGTAGCTTTTTCCCCTGATCCACTTCCTTTTGTGCCACACAGTTTAAAACTGTAAATGCAAAGAAAGGTAAACGCTGTTTTGCTTTTGATCTTTGTAAGCCGCTCCAGAAGCTTTTCTGTGAGATAGAAAAAGCCATTTCATTTTAAAGAACAAATGGCTTAATGTCAGAATCTATGCTTAAATACCAGGGTTAACATCACACCAGGAATCAAACAGTAAACAGTGAAGGAGCTACCGACTCAGACAAACAACCAAACAACAGCCTAACCAAGGAACCACCAAGATCACTCCACCAACACCGACAGGGCAAACCACTTGTATACAAGTGGAGAGAGCAAACTCCACTCCCTTTCTAGCACTGATGACGTTAAATAGTTGGGTCACGAAACGCCTGCGTGAAAATGACCAAGCTCAGAGGGCACCAAGGACCCCTCATGTCAACCCTGAGCTACAAATATTCTCTCGGTCAAGTCAGACTAAACACGCAACTCCTTCCTCCCCTCTTTGCAGCGGATAAACACAAGCTGGAGAAGTTTTTCCATGCTGACACGGCTGTGGTGGCCTCCATCTATGCCCCCATCACTTTTCCTCCTGCTTCGGTGCTGCTGTTCAAACAGGAGAGCGACGGTGAGTTGGGCGTCGGGAAGGTACCTGGGGTCCGCATGGGCTCCCCTGTGTTGGCATCCTCTGGTGAACTGCTGCCGCCGCCACCCCCTTCCGCTGGCATTTCTAGATTCTGTCCCCTTTTCCAGCAGCCTCCCGTAACCTGTTCCCTGCAGATGGATTGGGTGGTCCCTTCATGCTAGCAAAGGGGGAGATTATTCTCACATTGCCTTCAGGGTGCCAGGAGGGGAAATGTTCCTCTTCAGCAGTTGGGAAAGGAAAACGGCATTTCCCTATCCTTCTAGCAGTCAGGGGTCTTCAAACTTGACAGCTTTAAGACTTGTGGACTTCAACTCCCAGAATTCCTCCTCCAGTCATGTTAGTTCGGGAATTCTGGGAGTGGAAGTCCACAAGTCTTACACTTGCCCAGTTTGAAGACCCTTGATCTAGCTTGTCAGCCTTCGTTCTGGGTCCCTGTGGGGCCTAGAGGGAGAATGTCCCAGAGCACATCCTATTTTCCATGGGGTGGAGACAGGCGGGGTGGGGCTTTCTCCCCAGCGAAGCTCGCCAAGGGCTTTTGTGCATTGCCTTGGGCCTGGTTGGTTGGTGACACTGCTCTGGTTCTTTCGGATTTGTGTTAAAAGCTGCATGCAGCGGTAACAAACTGGTTGCTGAACTATAGTTCCCAACAGCCTCAGCCGCTATGCTGAATACAGTGTGGCCCACATGGGACATTATCCCACTTGGTGGCCACGTTATCCGCGAGGTCAGCTGAAAATGTGGCTTGGATTGGAGCCTCGGCACTTTTTCTGCCCCTTTGGAGTCGGGTGGGCTCCATTCCTCATTGCAAACGCTGGTTGTCGATTGCCCGGCCTGAAGTTGCGCCCTGGGCCCGTCTCACCTCCTGGAGTCACAGGGTTCCCACTTGGGCTTCTTTGCAGGAGTGCAGAACCTCTTGGCTGTGGGCTCCCTGCTCAGCGTCGACCCCAACCGGGTAGTCGTTAAACGGGTGGTGCTCAGTGGCCACCCATTCAAGATTTTCAGCAAGCTGGCCGTCGTGCGCTACATGTTCTTCAACAGAGGTACTGCACCCAAAGTCCCGGTGTGGGAGGGGGGAATTGCAGTAACTTCATTGAGAGAAATGGACCCCATATTCAAAGGATGGGTAGTGCAGGGCTCACCTGTCTGCAGTTGCTCTGACCACTGGCAGTTGTAGAAATCCACTCCCTCCCCAGCACACACACCCCCCCAGGTCTGTGCTTGGAAGTCTAGGTTTAAAATACGGGGGGGGGGGGGGGGGTGTCTTCAAACTGGACAGCTTTTAAGACTTGTGGACTTCAACTCCCAGAATTCCTCCTCCTGTCTTGTTAGGTCAGGAATTCTGGGAGTTGAAGTCCACAAGTCTTAAAGTTGCCAAGTTTGGAGACTTCTGTTATAGAGCTTATGCAATTCTTGTCTGTGACTACAAACTTGGGGGTTGCTTTGAACTGTGCTGTCATGCCCCTGTTGGAATCTGATTCCGAGGGGGAGGCCAAGCAGCTGATAGGGAGTGGGAGTGTGGCTTCATTGGCTGTGGAGGAAACTGGGGAAGGGCACAGTCCGGCTGGGCAAAGCAGGGAACAGGTAGAACAAGGGAGAGGGAATTCGGAAGATCCAGGCCCACCCGCTCTTCATCCTAGGGCACGCAGGGAGGAGGGAGCAATGTGAGTTGCGTGGCTTACGGGGGAGGAAAGGGCCCTGATTCCCTTCATTAGCGGCAGCTGGGAACACAGTGTTTAAAAAGGGAGGTTGCACACAGCAATTTGTAGGAAATCATGAGTTATCTGTTATGGTCAAGGGTTATCTGAATTCCTGGCGTCTTCCCAACTGGGTGTGTTTTGCTGGCCTTTGAAGTCTGCAATTCCTTCTCCTGCCCCGTTAATTGCTGCAGCATGGCTTGTGTGGATTTTTATTTACAGTTTATATGTACTTTGTTTTCGGACTGAATTTCCTCCATTTAAAGACTGTTTTGGGAGAGTTTTTTCTCCAGCCGAAGGCAACTGGACATTGGGGGCAAAGTTGGGAGATTATAAAAGGGACTTTTCTTACTTATGTGATTGTGTTGCCTTTGTGCCACGCCCCTTTGGGTCGTAATACCTGCCGGGAGTCCTCCTACTTCTTCCTTCTCCCTCTCCTGCAGAGGATGTCCTGTGGTTCAAACCGGTGGAGCTCCGGACCAAGTGGGGCCGCCGTGGCCACATCAAGGAACCTCTGGGTAAGCGGGTGAAAGCTTTTTTTGGGGGGGGGGGTGTGGAGCAGCCCAGCAAACCTCCCTTCCTCGCTGGCTGCGTGCCCTGACTCTCCTTTCGGCTGCCAGGAACCCATGGCCACATGAAGTGCCAGTTCGATGGGCAGCTGAAGTCCCAGGACACGGTGCTGATGACCTTGTACAAGCGAGTCTTTCCCAGGTGGACGTTTGACCCCTACGTGCCGGAGCCCACGAGGTGGAGGGACGGCGTCCCGCCTCGCCTGGAGGGAGAGGAGAAAATGGACTAGTGGCTCTAGCTAAGCAACTATTTATGCAGGGGACAAACATACTGTTTCCAACAAAAATAAACTTCTGGGGTACTTAGTATTTCTTTTGATGGCCGACATCTGGAGAAATCTGGTATCTATGAAGCAGCCAATTGTCCTTCCTTTGATTGGCCTGAATATGCTTCCCATTTCGCGGAGGCCCTCGAGTCCTTGTCTTGCTGATGGGTTTATGCAGGAGAAAGTTTGGCTCTTGAGGAGCAGGGCAAAGAGACACTGAGACCACCACACCTGTCAAGGAGTCTTCGAGCCTCTAGCTGGCAAAGATGAGAGTAAAACTTAACTATTTTACTACGTTCTTTGGTATTCCTCGTCTTGAAACAGTGATTTTATTGAAACAGCAAAATTCCTTTATTGATCTGGAAACTACTAAGCAGCTGATGATTACTTAGGGCAGAGCGGTTTGGATCAGGCAAACATTAGAACGCCTCTTTTTTCCCCCAGCTACAGCTTCCCTGATGGTGAAGCCTCTCTCTTCACATCCCAGGAGAGAGAAAACAAACCCGAATCAGGTGCATCCTTGGAACTAAAGGACCAAAATCTGTCACGGTGCAGGAAAGATAGAACAGGTTGCTGTTTGCAGCTTCCTATATACAAATGAAACTTTGTCCTCAAAACAGATCCATAGATGGGATTTCTAGATGGTTTGGCAGGTTTCGCTCTGCACTGGTTCAGTGTGGGGTATCGAATTGCTCCCGAGTTCAGATGTCAGAAGAGTTGGCGGATGGTATTTATAGAAGGGCATTCATGGGGATTTTCTTTTAACCCTCTGCTGACTCGAGCCACTAAACTCCAGCATAGCCACCTCCCTGTTGTTAGTTGCGAAGTCTGACCCATCATGACCCCATGGACCACGTTCCTCCAGGCCTTCCTGACCTCGACCATCTTCTGGAGTCCATTTAAGCTCACACCGACAGCTTCCGTGACTTCAGCCACCACCTCCTCTCCTGCCCCCTTCTTCTTTTCCCAGCATTAGGCTCTTTTCTCCCTTCCTTCCTTCCTTCCCTCCCTCCCCATATAGTTGTGTTTTTTTAACAAAAGTTCCTTGACACGAGCTGTATGGGAGTGATAATTAACAGGAACCTCATAGGTGGCATTAGCATTGTCTGTAGCACAGTGGTGGGATTCAAATTTTTTTACTAGCAGTTCTCTGGGCGTGGCTTGGTGGGCGTGGCAGGGGAAGGATCCTGCAAAATCCCCCTCCCCACCCCGCTAACCTGCTTTCCAGCTCCGTTCTCCTGTGCAGGGCAACCAAAGGAGACCCAGCCAATCAGCTGGGACTCAATGGGAGGCAGAGAATAAACGGGGGCCAGCAAGAGGTAGGATTGGCCGGTTCTCCAAACGACTCCAAATTTCCGCTCCCAGTTCTCCAGAACTGCTCTGAACTGGCTGAATCCCGCCTCTGCTGAAGCGGCTGTCTCCCTGCAAGATTTCACCTGCCCTGGAGTCTTAAGCTCCACGTTAGTGAGGCAAAAGTCCCTGTGTGAGTGTAAAATACAGCATCACAAACTCAGGTGATGGGGGGGTACAGGTGAGAAACGCATCTCTGGAACAGAGACTTCAAGGACCCTTCCACCTTGCCATTAGGAAGGAGATGTCCACCTCTTGTCAGAAATCTGGCCTTTCACCATTTCTACAAGTAGTCCTTCGACATAACGGAGCCCGCCCATTAGGGTCACGCCTTGCCACAGTCCTTAGGGGAACAATCTCCCCATGCGACTTCCTCATCCCTGTGTGCAATAAAACCTCACCTTTCTGCAGAATAAATGGGAAGGAGCCAGGATTTTAAAATATTGTATTAGTCATTTTATACTGCATCTTGTCGACCTGTTTCAAAACAGGGACTAAAATTCTTTTTTAAATGGAGAAATAGAGAAGAGCAGAGGTACAATCAACGTTAGCATGATATGGTTGGCATTTAAAAAAAAAAATTCTGCAAAAGGTTCGACTACTTGTCATGGCAGGGGTGGAGAAGTATGGCCCTTGTATGACTTGGGGACTTCAACTCCCAGAATTCCTGACTCAAAGTCCCCAAGTCATAACAGGGTGAGAGTTTCCCACCTCTGTCCTATGGGGACAGCCAGCCACATGGCTTCAATGTGGGGAAGAAATCTTGAAGCTCTTAGTTGTCTCCGCCGCACAGAAGGAGCAGAACTTTCCTGTAGTCCCCAGAGGTGTCTCCCTAGAGGGGGAAAAACAAAGCAGAGTTCATTTTTATTTTACCAAATGCAAATTCTAGCAAAGCAGGGCTCACCGCGCCTGCCTTAACCTTCACCTCTGAACTACAGGTGGGCGGAATAAAGTTCACAGGTGTGTTTAATATGGACCGCTCCTGCCTTACTTGGAAGCCACAAGGTGTAGTCAGAAAAGGGTACCATCCTGATTCAGCCCAGGTTCCACCACACAGAGAAAACAGGCCGAGTTTCCATCATACCCCTGTGGCTGCCATCTTGATGTTTTTCACCACAACCTACACATGACTGGCTGGAAGTGCTCCAGTAAGGTTCAGCTTTGTGGGGCACACCTCCAGATACAGATTAACGGAATTGAAAGGAACCTTATAGGTCAGTGGTGGCTAACAGTTTTGGGCCAAAAATTGTGCATGCGCTTGTACGCTCGTGTGCCAGCACCCAGAAGGCAGTGCGTGCGATCCCCTGCCGCCCCCTTACCTGCACTGCTCCTCGCAGCTGATTTTTGGCCTCCCAGAGGCTTGAGGAAGGCTTCTGCAGCCTTTGCAGGCCGAAAACTAGGCCCGTTTCGTCACTTCCAGTATTTTCGGAAAAACAGTGACGAAATGGGCCTAGTTTTTGGCAGAAGTCTTCCTCAAGCTTCTGGGAGGCTGAAAGGGGCCTCAAACGCTGAAAATCAGCTGTGAAGCACCTGCATGCGCAGTGAGGTAAGTTTGCCTGCACCTTGTGTGCCAGCACCAATGGCTCTGCGTGCCACCTGTGGCCCATGTGCCATAGGTTCGCCATCACGGTTATAGGTCATCTAGTCCAACCTTTGGGTGGTTTGGAAAACCCCTTCCTGCTCTCTGGGGCGTCCCCTCAACTATTGGAAGACTGCGCTCCTGTCTCCCCTGGTCCTTCTCCTCCCTAGACCAGCCGCGCAGAAACTCTTGTGAGCTCAGATGCCGCAGCTCACCTTAATGAAAGAGTAGAGGGATTTGCCATACATGCGCTTGAACTCTGCCTTAATATCAATCATATCGATCTCACAGCGAGAGACCATCAGGCGGATCAGAGTGTCGTCATCGGTCCCCACGCCCTGGTTTCGGGTTGAAAAAGAAAGACAAGTCACACAACATGCAAAACATTTTGTCCCTTTTAAAGCAGCCACCTGCTAACTGCACAGTCCTCGGCGCTCTGAGCGTGGCGGTTTTCTTGCAGACGTTTCACTACCAAACTAGGTAGCGTCATCAAACTAGATGAGGTAGCACTGAGGAGGAAGATTCTCAAGTTACCCAGGCGGAGTTGTCAACTGGACTTCTGCTCTTTTTGGTTTAAAATATCGGGAGATTCTCAGTCATTCAGGTCAGTTGTCCCAAAGATAACTAGACTTTCTGGTTTTTCTGTGAAGACATTTCGCTTCTCATCCAAGAAGCTTCTTCAGCTCATTGGCTTGAAGCATTTCGCTGCTTATGCAAGGAGCTTCGAGCTGAAGAAGCTGCTGGAATAAGTTGCCAATCATTTCAAACCAAAAAGTAAAGGCGTCCAGTTCCCACGGCTCAACTTCCAGACAGGACTCAGGATGTTAGCTAGTTTGGTGGTGAAACTTTTTTGCTAAAAGCCACCGTGCTGAAGAGAACCAAGGACCTCACCGTTCTATAAATCATCTCTTCCATCAGCACCTGCTAAGTGTGCCTCACCAAGCTGTTAGTCCGGTGTTTCTCAACTTCTGAAAGGTGTGGACTTCAACTCCCACAATTCCCCAATCAGCACTCTGGGGGCTGAAGTCCCCACATGTTAAAAACCACGGAGGTTGAGAGGCCCTGATAGAAATCCCTCTTGTTCGTGCCGGAACCTGGCAGAATTCCCCAGGACAGGATTATCCAACCCGTTCTGGAGAGGCCAGGAATTAAATACCAGCTTTTTCATGCAACAAGAGCTGAGCCCGGATCATGTAATTACAGGAAACCAATCCATTAATAGGGCACGCCTGTTGCAGAGGCTCCTGTTCGGTTTGCAGACGGTTTTATGCATGCATGCGTTTACCTTCATCGATTTGTACAGCCGTTCAGCAAAGTAGGCAGGTTTATTTCTCATGCATTTCACTGAGAGAGGAGAGGGGAGAGAATAAAGGAAGGCAGTTACCCATAGCAACAATCCATCAATCTTGATTTTAAAAAAAAATTAAAATCATTTCTTGTTATTGAAACAATAATTTTCTAAACGAAAATGCTGCATATGTTGAGCATGGCCTATCCAGAAGTCTTTACTTCCAACGTTCCTCTATATCGCTAGCATCCAATGTCTAAAAGCAGGGGTGTCCAACCTTGGCAACTTTAAGACTTGTGGACTTCAACTCCCAGAATTCCTCAGCCAGCAAAGCAATTCTGGAAGTTGAGGTCCACAAGTCTTAAAGTTGCCAAGGTTGGACACCCCTGGTCTAAAATGCTGGAACTGCCATCCTCAGCTCCAGCGTCTTCCTGATGTGTGGGCCAACTCAGAACATGTGGCTCTAGCAGGTTTTTGTTACCAACGATAATGTCCCAAAGGTGCTTTTTCCAAACTGGACTTTCTGGTTTTGCTGTGAAGACATTTCGCTTCTCCTCTAAGAATCTTCTTCAGCTCTGACTGGATGGTGGGGAAGGGAAGGATTGATGCTCCTTGCAGACAGCTGGTCATTTGCATCCTTTTAGCGGGTGTCGTTGAGGCCACTTGGAGGTTTATCTGTTTACCAGACAACGATGAATCTCCTTGGATAGCCTACATTCAGGAACTCGCTTCGAGCAGAGGTTACCAGATCCAACAACACGTTATTTCATTGCCGTCTCTCCATGTTGCAAACACCCTGGAATCAAGTTAACCTCCTGCAAAGCAACTCTCACCAGCTACAGAGGAATAAACGCTGATGTGGAATCCTCACCTATTGCCAGCAAGGCGTCTTCAAGGTCTCCAGACATCTCGGATTTAATACTCTCCGTAATATCTTTGTTAGCGATGTTCTTGTATTCATCAAATACTAAATGAATAAATAAAGATTTTTATTAGCAAACCAAAGAAAAGCAGCTCCCCAACCTGGAGACTTAGATATGTCCACAAGCTTCTCTGTTTTGATATTTCCATATTCAAATTTCCAATATTCCCAATTTCCTGATTCATACTGTATATATATATATTTTTCCTAAAAAATAAAATAAAAATAGTCCTGAATGAACTGAAATAAGTCTATGGTGGCCACAAGTAATGGGGAAATCACACCATCATGCCTGAGTCAAACAACGTTAGAATAACAGTTGGAAGGGACCTTGGAGGTCTTCTAGTCTAACCCCCAGCTTGAGCAGGGATCCTATACCATTCCAGACAAATGGCTACGCAGTCTCTTCTTGAAAACTTCCAGTGATGGAGCATTTCTGAAGGCAAGCTCTTCCCTTGACTCATTGTTCTTATATATTTCTTTTATCCTCAGGAGCTTTGGAGAATAAGTTGACCCTTTCTTCTCTGTGACAGCCCCTCAGGTACTGGAAGTCAGCTATCATGACACCCCTAGTCCAGTGATGGGATTCAGCCACTTCGCACCAGTTCGGGAGAACCGGTTGTTAACTTTCTGAGCAGTTTGGGGAACTGGTTGTTGGAAGAAATCATTAGGGCAGAGAACCGGTTGTTACATTATTTGAATCCCACCACTGCCCTAGTCCTCCTCTTCCTTGGACTAGACACCCCCAGGTCCCTCAACCTTTCATCATAACGATTTGAGCCTCCAGACCCTTCATCATCTTTGCTGCCCTTTTCTGCCCATTTTTCTGGGGTCTCAGTATCTTTTCTGGATCACGGTGACCAGAATTAAACAAACATAAAGAGTTTGTTTAATTCAGGAATCTGTTGTTGCAACTCTCCTTCCTAAGCCTACAACTGGCCGTCACGCGGCTTCTCAGTACAGCTTAAAGTTGGAGGGTAGGTCCCATTTTAGTGTTCATTCATAGGAGTTCTGGGTAACGGAATGGAGCTACGTGTTTACTGGCCGGATGCCCTTCCTGTCACCAATGCGGAATTATATTCAGTAGATATATATTCCCGTCGTGCCCAGAGAGAGAAATATCTACCTCTACCTAGGATTGAATTCACAGCCTCTCCTGATTGCGAGGCGATAACTTCCCCTCTAGGCCACCGCACCGCTCACTTGATTCCTACGATGTTCCTTTTTTTTTTTTTTTTTTTTTAAACAAAGCATCCGCTCGCGCGACCACTTACCCCTTAAAAGATGGTTCCTGCTTCTGGAGCACAAGATAGCAATGAACTGGCCCTCACTGGTGCCCCATTTGTTCTCCCCGGCTTCATACAGGCACTAGAGGAAAGGAGCACAAAGAGCTGATTTTTTGCAGGGAGCGGAACGAACGTCATCGCCAGGGGAAAGGGAAGAGTTTGGGGTTTGGAGCCACAACCCAGCACATCTGCACCAATCCAGCTTCCTCCCTGTTCTCACAAGGCAGCAGGGACGGGCAACTTCACACGGATGAAGAAATGGAAGTCTCCACCTGCGAGCTGTGAGGCAGGCAAGGGTGGAGTTCGACAGGACATCTTGGTTCCCGGGGATGCAACGTTGTGTGCAATAGTCGTTTTAAGCTTACCAGGTCTTAATGCAGCTGGCATGATGGTCTGCATGTGACATAGACCAGGGGTCTCCAACCTTGGTCACTTGAAGCCTGGAGGACTTCAACTCCCAGAATTCCCCAGCCAGCTTAGCTGGCTGGGGAATTCTGGGAGTTGAAGTCCGCCAGGCTTCAAGTGGCCAAGGTTGGCTGGGGAATTCTGGGAGTTGAAGTCCGCCAGGCTTCAAGTGGCCAAAGTTGGCTGGGGAATTCTGGGAGTTGAAGTCCGCCAGGCTTCAA